AAGTGTGGGACAGTGCAGAAATGCTAGGAGGTATGCATCTAAGGAGATAGAGGGTACTTTAAGGGAACACTATGCTAAAACTGTGAGCTATGGAGAGGAGATAAAAAGGACTAACCCTGGATCAACAGTGAAGATGGATGTGGATGTGATGCCTGATGGAACCACTTACTTCTCAAAGTTCTATGTATGTTTAAAGGGTGTGAAGGATGGATGGATTCAAGGTTGTAGGAGGGCAATTGGACTAGATGGCTGCTTCTTAAAAGGAATTTGCAGAGGCCAATTGCTTGCTGCTGTAGGTAGGGATGCAAACAACCATATCTACCCTCTTGCTTGGGCTGTGGTTGCAGTGGAGAGTAAAGAAACATGGAAGTGGTTTGTTGACCTTCTCCTTGATGACATTGAAATGGGAAATGGGTATGGATTGACATTAATATCAGACCAACACAAAGTAATGATTTTATCTACTCTCTTTATTTAATACTTAATTTATATGAAGCTTATGTTTTGTTTATAATGCTAATAGGGATTACTTAAGGCTGTCAAGGAAAGGGTGCCTGCAGCAGAGCATCGACAATGTGCCAGGCACATATGTGCTAACTTCTTGAAAAAATTTAAGGGTCAACAGTTCATTACACTTTTCTGGTATGCTGCTGCTTCTACTACACAGACTAAATTTGAGCAGCATATGAATGAAATCAAGAAGCTAGAACCACTTGCCTATGATCATCTGATGGAGAGGGACCCTAAAACTTGGAGTAAAGCATTCTTTGAGATTGATAGGGCATGTGATGCATATGAAAATGGTGTATCTGAGAGTTTTAACTCAGTCATTGATGATGCCAGGAAGATACCTCTAATCACTATGTTAGAGGAAATTAGAATTTATGTTATGGAGAGACTTTGTATACAGAAAAGTAAGGGAAGTTCTTGGGGAGACTTACACATATGTCCTTCCATTAGACTGGAATTGTCTAAGATTAAGGCACTTCAAAGGTTAGTGGTTGTATCATCTGGTTATCAATTGTTTATACTTACATATATATATATATATATATATATATGTGTGTGTGTGTCATTCAATTGTTTACTTACATATATATATATATATATATATATATATATATATGTATATATATATATATATATATATATATATATATATATATATATATATATATATATATATATATGTGTGTGTGTGTGTGTGTGTGTGCGTGTGTGTGGACAAATTTTGGAGAGTTGTACCATCTGGTTATCAAGAATTTTAAGTGAGGCTTGGATATGATGCGTATGCTGTAGACCTTGGTAAGAAGACATGTGCATGTAGAGCTTGGCAATTAACTGGTTACCCTTGTGTGCATGCATATGCTGCCATTTCAAAGCTCAATAGGGATCCATATGACTATGTATCACCATGGATGACCACAACAATGTTTTGTAATGCATATATGTATACCATTAAGCCACTTAATGGCAGTGATATGTGGCCTGATGTTGATTACATCAAGCCATTGCCTCCCAAAAAGAGAAGGATGCCAGGACGACCATCAACAAAAAGGAAAAGGGATCAAATTGAGAGGGAACTAAAGGGTAATAAGCATACAGTCTCAAAAAGGGGTATGGTCATGAGATGCAGCATATGTAGGGAAACAGGGCATAATAAAACCAAATGTCCTCAAAAAACCAATTGGGGAATCATCTAATCCACAGCCAAAGTCAAATCAAAAACCAAAGTAAAAAAAAAGCCAAAAAAGAAGGTATGTGTTCTCCTTTACATTTTGATTACAATATAACAATTTGTAATGCTAACATTTAAATTATTTCATAACAGGTAAAGTGAAGGTTGAATTGGCTCAAGAAGTTGTTGTGGCAAGTGATAGTGACAGTGAAGTTCAAATGGAGCTTGATAGTGAGGTGGAGTCTTATGAAGTTGATTTTGAAGAGGATAATCATAGATATGAAGATGTAGACCAACCTGAGGTTGAAGTTGAAGTTCAAGGACAGGGTCAAGGTGTAGTTGGAGGGGTTGAAGAACAGGTTGAAGCACTGGTTGAAGTTGAAGTTCAAGAAGGTGAAGACCATGCTGCAATTGAAGTTCAAGGACAGGGTGAAGGTCAAGAAGGTGAAGATCTTGCTGCACTTCAAGATCCAGTTGGACAGGATGAATAAGGACAAGATGCAATTCAAGATCCAGTGGAAGAGGAGAATATGCAAGAAGTACCAGCATTTCAAGTTCTATAGGGAAAGAGAAGAAGGAAACCTTCATAAAGAATCACGAAAATTCAGATAAGAAAGAAGTGGGAAGGGAAACAGGGGAGTAGTGGTGAAAATCCAATGGAATTGGAATAGAATTTGGCATCATTGACTAGGAATCTTTTGTCTAGTTATATGTGTAGCTTTTAGACTTTTGTCTAGTCATATGTGTAAGTTTTGGAATCTTGTGTGTACCTTTTGGCAGTATTGCATGTGTAACTGTGTTAAAACTAAATTATGGCACATCTTTTGTAAACAATGTTTCCTGGGAATCCAATGTTTTCTTATATTACATTCCCATGTTTGATTATATTACATTCCAGTGTTTAATTATATACCATTCCAGTGTTTAATTATATTTCATTCTAATACAAAAGTTCCATTCATTACATCAGAAGCAAAAAACATGTAACACAAGTTTGTTGCTTTAATTACATACATAAGCATACACAAGAACAGGTGGACTACATCATTTTAATACCAATCAAGTTTCATTCATGAAGTACATCATTCAACCATTATACATCATGAACTACATCATTCAACCCTAATACATTAAATCAACATTTTCACATACAATACAAATAACAAAATCAGTGCCACTTTGTGAGTAAAAAACTTCAACTTCACTCTGTCCAATTATTGTCTATTAACTAAATTGGTGTTGTTTTCTTGTTCGATCTTCATCCTACATATGCTGATTTCATTCTCCACAGTGCAAATTTTCAAGGTTAGATTGCAGCTTTCTTCTGGTTTCCTCCTGTAAGAACTTCTTCCATCTGTCCTCCCTTCAACCTCATCCATCCATTGCCAGAATTTACAGCTTGGACTTTTTCCATTCTTGAACAAAAATAAAAAATGTTAAATTGAAGGATGAAGAAGAAGAAAGTTGCAACATATTCAACAGTATTGATTTACCATCGAGTTTTGACAAACTCTAAATTTTCCTGCAGGGTTGTCAGGAGTTCTTGAAATCTTCACACGAGATGGTAAGCCGCAATCACATGGATGATCAGCTTGAAATCCATCTTGTCGTTTTGAAGAATAAGAAGAGGAAGAAGAATCCATCGTCGATCGATGTAGGGTTTAGAATTAGGGGTGTAATCGTATGACACAGTTCTTATAGTGTAATCGAATGACGACAATATATGCACCATACCACTTAGGTGCAACGTACTCAAGTCATATGCCAGGTGGATGCCACATAAGTAAAAACAGGTGATAGCCAATCATATTACCTAAATGTGAACATACAAAACAAGTTGGTTTCATTAATGTATACAAAAAAAAAGAATATTACCTATATATGGACAATCGAAATAGTTAGGTACCTTTATAAGTCATTTTCCCATTTTTTTTCAGTAAAAAACACATTAAATGGCTATATATTTTTTTGTTGGTGACGCCCCATTTTAAATGACTATGTTTTTTGTGTTCGACCAAATTCACAATTCAGTAACAAAAACCGCATTAAATTAGGAATTGAACCAATTTTAAGTTTAACCAATATTACAAAACAACTAATTGGCTCCGGTTTCAATAAATTAAAGAAATATATATTACCTCAATAAATTCAAACAAAATAAAATGCAAACATTACCTCTAATAAATAATAACTGAGAGTATTGGAGAACTTTAGTTTTTCGAAATTATAGAAAGAATTTAACATTCAACTAGTATGTCATGACTTTTGGATCTATAGATACTTTCGGTTTCCTTGCGTCAGAAGCTATGGAGCTACTCAATAGGGTCCAAATGGTCATGCATAGTAATGTCATGACTCCTAGATCTATAGATGTTTTTAAAAAATTTGGTTTTACCATCCAAAAAGGGGTTGCGACACAGTTAGTTCCTCGTTTACCCGTTACGTCTATATAAAACTTTCTTCTTTATTTAATTGACTCGTAATCTGATGCTTCATAAAAAAATAAAAAATAAAATAAAATAAAATAAAAACTAGTACGTGGGAATGGTAAAGAAGGAATGCGATGAATATTATGCTAATTTTAATTTTTAAGTTTCTTTCATTGGGCCTCGGTGCTCAAAACAAACATGTCTAAAACTAAGTTGATGGTGGTGGGGTGCAAAATCAAGAAGTGAGGTCTATGTCTAGATGGATAAATTGTGGTGAATGCAATATCCAGTTTTACTATCTTGGGCTTCCTATTCTAGCCCAAATGTCTATAATTTCTCCATGGGTGTCGACGATGCATGGCCAAGTGGAGTTCAGCATAGGAGAAAAGTGGGTACTACTGAGTACTGTCTTCGTTGAGGACTTGAGGTGGCCGGTGGACAACAAAATTCTAGTGTTGTAGTGAATTTTTCAAACAAAATGGATTTATTGGATTCATAGACGTGTAAGTTTTTTTTTTTAGGGAACTCAAAGATTTTCGAGAACTCAAGAACCTATAATGTGTTTCTTATTTTCCAAAACCAAAATAATCATTGGACTCCTAAAACTGCATCTAAGAGATCCATAGTAAAAAAAAAAATTGATGAATTTTTTTTTTTTTGACGTTTTCAAGTTGCGATTGTCTTAAACGTTGGTATTAGATTCTCATTGTTGTGCTGGTTTTCAAATTTTTTGAAAAAAACTCTAAATGTGCTTATATATATATATAGATATATATATATATATATATATATATATATATATATATATATATATATAATATATATATATATATATATATATATATATCTATATATATATAGAGAGAGAGAGAGAGAGAGAGCTATGTTCATTTGTTTAAACTAAGTATTGTGTTATTGTATGCATAAATGTGGGCCAATCAAAATTAAATAAAAAATTAAATAATTAAATAAATAAATAAGGGTAATTTAGTAATTTGTTTAGTAACTTCCAAAATTAATCCCTATCTCATGATAGACTTTTAACCTAATCTCTCCTGTTTAAATCTCGTTCCCCTCTTTTATCTAAAACGCCGATCTAATCTCTCCTGTTTAAATCTCGTTGCACTCTTTTATCTAAAACGCCGATCTGCAAAGGAAAAGGGATGCGAGTAGCAGCAGGTGGGGTGAGATCAGAAGAGAGAGCGATGGGTGAGACCAGAAGAAGGTCCGACGATAGGTGGGGCTTCGGTGACATTGGCTCGACGGAAGAAGAAGAGGTGGGTGCGGGTTCTTTTAGGTCTGCTTCTATCTCTCTTATTCTCCCGCGTTTTAGTATTTTGTGAAGAAGCGTGATTGAATCGTTTCGTTGCAGATCAATGCTTCCGACCTCCAATCTCCCCCCGCCAGCATTCCGATCAGGTAATGAATTTCCTTTCAAAAATGCCGATTTCCAATTAAGATACGATCGCCGAAAGTCCAATTTCCAATCTCATGAACAATTTCGAATTTTGCCTCCGAAAGAATTCAAATTTCAGATTCGCTGTTGGTGGGATTGTTCGCATCAAGACAACAGATTACAAGACCCAAAAATTTGATTTTTAAACCTCCGATTCTGATTTGAACTCCCGATCGAGCCTAGAACATGAACGCTAGTACTTCGATTTCAATTCGTACGACCGATTTCCGATTGCGAATTTGGGAAATTCCTAGAACTCCAATCGATTTCAACTTACAGGATTGAAATCCAACTTCAATTTCATGAACAACTTCAATTCTTGCTTTATGAATGATATCAGTTTCGCTTGTGTATCTTGAGGCGAGAGACGAACTTTGGCATCTTGATTTGGCAGGTTCGTTTCAAATCTAGTCAATTGATTATGGAGCGAAAGTGGATATCAGGTTCGTTCCTTTGCTGGAAGTAACATTTTTAACAGAGGTAATAATTAATAATTAATTAAATATATAAATGCAAAATAGTTTTTTTTAATAAAAAAAGTTCAATTTATGTTCAGATTGAACTGCTGTCAAGACTCCATCACTGCCATGTGGTGCCATTACTTGGGTACTGTTTAGAATACCAATACCACACAAAATAGCCTGAAATGCTTTTGGTGTTTGAATACATGCCAAATGGCAAGCTGAGAGAGTGTCTGGATGGGTTTCAGAAAAATGTCTAGACTGGGGGGCCTGCATTGCAGTAGCCATTGGAGCTGCTAGAGGGTTGGAATATCTTCATGAAGCAGCTGCACCAAGAATCTTACATAGAGATATTAAATCCACTAACATTCTATTGGATGAAAACTGGAGAGCAAATGTGGGAATTGGGAATAATAAGTTTTAATATCACATTTGTGAATGTTATTAAGCTTTGATTTTGTTGGTAGATTACTGATCTGGGAATGGCTAAGAGTTTGGTGAAATGATTGGTGAAATGATTAACATATGGTATATATCACTTCAATGAACAGAAAAATCCAGCAGGAGTACAGAAGCTCATAGGTGGTCAACAGTTGATCTTGACCACCCTCAGATCATAAACATACAAAACTATAGGTATCCTTAACTCATAATTATTCCCCCTTTTTGACTTTCGACTTATGATTTTTAATAATTATTTACTTATTTTCGATCCTTGAATTCTTGAACCAGCATTTTTTCAGCTACATGGAACGTAGGAGGAAAATCCCCTTCCAACAAAATGAATATTGGTGAGATTCCAATTCTTTTGGAATGGAATCACGAATTCCAATTCTGTTGGAATGGAATCATGAATTCTAATTCTGTTGGAATGGACAGTTCTGTTGGAATCACATAAGTTGATGCTTGAAGAACGGACCACAAAATTGAAACGGACCACATTATTCTTTTAGAATGTATTAGTCGTTGTTAGATTTTGATGTTTTCTTTCCCGTTTTGATTGTTTTTTTAGTTTATTCTTTAATAATAAATGTAATTATTAACAATTTTTACCCGTATTCTATAAGAATAATCTATTTTTTGTTTTTATTCTTCTATTGATTGTTCAAGAATTTGTTATTCTACAAGAAGTTTTTAAATTCATGATCAAGAAATAGGTTCAAGAATATTTTTATTATTTATGGTTCAAGAATATTTTTATTTTTGAATATACTCATAAACATATTCTGTCAGAATGTCCAAATTAAAAGAATTATAATTCGAAAAATCGGATTTTTAAAATTAATAGAATCTATGATCCCTTAAAAAATGCAATTTTCCTTTATTAAGTCTATATTAATTGACTAAATTACCCTTGTAATTAAATAAGATGATATTTTTCAATTATATTTAATTCAATAATATATATTAATCACTTTCTTAAAATATGTAAATTTGATTGGCTCACATTTATGCATACAATAACACAATAGATACTCTAATCAAATAACCTAAGCCTATATATATATATATATATATATATATATATATATATATATATATATATATATATATATATATATGAACATACAAATGTGCATATTATTCGTGGAATCCTACTCCCCCGCAATGGTCCCGAGATTTCCCATCTTTTTTTGCTAACGATGCTCTTTTTATGGGAAATTGGGATCAATGCAGCATCAAGAACCTCTCCCGCATTCTTAAATGCTTTCAAATATCTTCAGGACTCAAGGTAAATTTTCACAAATCTAGGTTATTTGGTACTTGCATCCCCGATGCCGAACTGCATAGGATGACTCAAACATTGGGATGTTTGACAAGTTATTTTGCTTTCACATACCTCGGGATTCCTGTTGGTGCAAAAATGTTACTTCAAAATAATTGGAAACTAGTGATTGAAAAGTTTCAAGCTAAACTATCGGGATGGAAGGCAAGCACATTATCATTTGGTGGGAGGTTGACGGTGATAAAATCAATTCTTGGTAGCCTTCCTACATATTACTTATCATTATTCAAGGCACCGCAGGGCATCCTAGACACATTGGACAAACTATGGCGTGCAGATAAAAAAATTGGGGGCTTAGGTAGTTGCAGATAAAAAATGGTGTGGTGATGATGCACATAGAAAAGTTCACTAGGTGGATTGTGTAACATCCCGATGTTCAGGTACTTATAAGTTCATCCCTATACTTCTATTTCATGTCAATTGGTCAGGTGGTAGCACCCTTGGGTATAATTGAGGTTTGGACACGACGAATTAGAGGCACCAACACTGTGTGTCTAGATATGACAAGGCGCGATTTGATTTGGGCAACACGGCGTGTTCCCTCTTGGAACACGGCGTGTTGACCAGTGAAATGAAACCCTAATCTTCTGGATTTTTCTCCCTATTTAAAGGAATGTGGAGGCTAGGGTTTGTTCACCCTCAGCCCCCATCAGTCCCTCAAGTTCTGAAAGAAGCCCTAATCATTTTCTCTCCTATTTGTGAAGCTAGTTTGGTGTTTGAAGGAAGAAGGTGAAAGAAGGAAGCAAAGATCCAGCAAGCAAGCCCCATTCTTCAGTTTGGCACTCTCCTAGACCTTTGTAAGTGTCCAAGACTCGATTTTTATCATTCAAAGTTGTTATATCTTGGGTTTTGTCCCTATTTCTCTTTGTTATTGGATGTTGCAATGGATGGATCTCATAAAGTTTGCAAATTTTTGAATCTCCAGGTTAAGGTGACCCGGTAGTGGCTTGGATCTGGTCTATAACCAAGTTTTGATGCCATGCATAGAGATTAGGTCATAAATCCTCTTTTGGCCTAATATGGGTTGAAGACATGCATTGGACATGCATGTCTAAAAAGCACCAACCTTTGGGATGGTTTAGGTGTTAGAAACACTTCTGGAAAGGGCCGGACTTCAGATCTTAAGGATTAAGAGTATTTTGGTTAAGCTCTTGCTTTTCAAGCTTGTGATTTGGGTTTTTGGTAGTCCCAATGGATAAAGTGGGAAACTTTACCCTTCCTAATCACATTTTAGTCTAGATCTGAGCCTTGGAGCTCTGGAAGTCGAAAAGGCAGCTGAATGTATTAAGCTGCTAGAACTCGGGTGAACACGGCGTGTTTGGTGTGTTGGATGAGGTTTTCCAGACTGTTTGGATGCTCGCGGAACACGACATGGTCAAGGGGAACATTGCGTGTTGGGTCAACATGGAATGTTGAAATTAACCATTGACTTTGACCAAGTTGGACCTTGAGGGTATTTTGGGATCTTGATGGATTTGGTCACTTGGTGTGAACAGGTATCGGTTAGAGAACTGAGATTTCGGAGTCGGACCTCATCAGTTCTGTTCAGCTTGTGAGGTGAGTTTTCCTCACCGTACTTTTGGGTCGAAGGCACCAAGGTCGGCCCTTTGGATTGTTATCCTAGTTTATCGTATGATTGTGTACTGTAGTGATCTGTGAGATCTGTATCCTAGTAGATATGATGATATTATGCTTAGTGATCTGTAAGATCTGTCTGTTTGATTATTGACTGGTTATTGTATGCCTGTCTGTTAGATATATGTATCAACGCGGTTTATGTGTGGTTGGGTTGAGGCGGTCCTGGTTTGTGCTGAAGGTCAACAGACCCAGGGCGTCTCGGATAAACTCAAGGTCAGTGGGGCGTACCATTCAGGCCGAAGGCCCGGAGAACGTTCCAGATAGGCTGAAGGCCCGGTGTGGCGTACCAGTCAGGTTGAAGGTTCTGTGAGCATACCAGGTAGACTGCAGGCAGGTAGGGCATTCCAGTCAGATTGAAGGATTTGTATGCATGCTGTTTGCTGTTCTTATTATGATATTGTGATGTGTTGGTATTTTGGGAGAACTCACTAAGCTTTGGGCTTACAGTTTTGGGTTATGTTTCAGGTACCACAGAGGATCGCAGGAAGGCGAAGGCATGATCGTCCACCTCCTCGTGTTATGTTTTATGATTTTGGGAAACCTCTGATATTGAACATGTTTTGAAAACTATTTTGTAAACAATGATGATTTATGGGATCGTTTTAAAAGTTTAAAATTTTCATGAATTTTATGGATGTTACAGATTGGGAAAAGGTAGTTGTAGATAAAAAAATGGGGGCTTAGGGATGGGAACTCTACAAGCCAAAAACATTGCTCTCCAAATAAAATGGTGGTGGAGACTGAAAAATGAGAATGGTCTGTTGTGGGCCGAAGTCATCGAGAGCATTCACAAGTCGAAGATTCACCCTTAGAATTATCTGGTAGGGTGTAACACAATAGGGGCTCGAAGGAATATCTCCAAGGTGATCACGAGCCTCAGCAATTATAATATAGATTCCATGTAACGCCCGGTTCCTGGTACGTATTTAAATAAGAAATTATGCATTTTTACAAAGGGACTCGACGAGTTGGTGGCCCCAAACTCGTCGAGTAGGAATTGATATGTGGACGCGGGACTTGAAGTCTACTCGACGAGTCGAGGAGCCTCGACTCGACGAGTAGGCCTGCCAGAGTGAAACCCTAATTTTCAGGGTTTGCACCCTATTTAAACACCTTAACACCCCCACTATGGCCTCCTTCATCGCCTCCCTTAGTCCAGAAAACCCTAACTCGAAACCCTAACCCATTTTGAGTGTTCTTCAGCTATTTTTGTGTATTTTTTTGCTGGTTCGAATCTTGAGAAGGAAGAAGAAGCTTGGGAGTTCAAGGGGAAGCAAGTAGATCTAGTGGTTGTGTTCCATTTCCAGCTCTTTTGAGGTATAAAGTATATAACTTGACTATTCATTTGCTAGATCCCTTCATGGAGTAGTTTAGGGCTTTAAGGAACTATTTTTGGAACCATTCATGGATGCAAGCATGTTTGGGGTTAAGACTTCAGATCTGGAACCTTTGAGGGACTCCATGGCATAAGGGTGCCAACTTTATGGCCATGGGAGTCCCATGCATCTTGTGAACCTCAATTTAAGGCATTTTGAGCTAAGATAACCCATGCATGAACGTAAAGTTTGTAACTTTACGTGTGATATCGACCCTATGAGGCCAGATCTATGTTTTGGATGCGTTAAGCCCGACTAAAATCTAATGTATAGTATTAGGATAATGGGGGACTCAACGAGTCGCTCATAGGACTCGACGAGTCGGGTTGTGGTTCCCCCAAACCTTCTTTGATACTTAGCAACTTGTTGACTCTAGAAGATGACTCAGCCAGTTAGACGTGTTTTGGACTTAAGGTCAAGAACTCGATGAGTCCAAGGAGAACTCGACGAGTCCAAGGAAGGACTCGACGAGTTCAAATGGAAAGTCTCGATTCTGTCATAAGGAGAAACTCGACGAGTTAGAGGGTAACTCGACGAGTTAGATCGCGAATTCAAGATTCTCTGAATTATGAAACTCGACGAGTTGAGGGATCAACTCGGTGAGTTGAGTCAACCAGGGTGTTG